TCTCTCTCTCTCTCTCTTTCTTTCTTTCTTTCTTTCTTTCTTTTTAATTTGACCAGAGAGAAACAGTGGGAGAGTGAAAGCAAGAGTGAGAGTGAGAGAGAGAGAGACAGGAAGCAAGCCACCAGGTCCAGGACTCGAACTGCAATAGGCCATGTGGGAGTCCGTGCCCTTAACCACCATGCCACCTGCCAGTCCCTGCAACTTCCTTTTTAACCGTCAGAGACTCTGTACATTTGTCAGAGAAAGACAGACAGAAAGGGAGAAAGCACTCCCCAATGGGGTGTGGTCAAGCTGCAACCCCTTCTCTTCCATGTCTCTAATCCAGTTGGGATTTTGGGAATGCATAGAAACATATCCATATATATATATTTTTCAAATAACTGGGGCCAGGATTCAAACAGTGGCTGGCCATGTAGTATTCAGTTCCCTGAACCTTTAGGGCTGATCTGAAATGAGTTAACTAGCTGTAATAAACCTTAGTATCTCAGTAGCCATTTTTGCTGGCTATCTTAAAAGGGAAACGGGGGTGCTGTGGTAAAGCTCAATGCTCTGTGAGGCTGACCCAGTGTCTGTCCAGAGACCTCCGTGAGCAGGCAGGGCATGTGTGTGCCCATGATCTGGGCTTACTCAGCTGGGGTAGATCATAGCAACAAGACCCTGCTAGGAGTGCTGTCTCTGTCTCTCCGGCTCATACAAAGAAGAAATGTATAAAATTTTAAAAGTGCTTTAAAAAAGACTTTTAGGCAGTTATTTGAATATATATTATATAAATAAGCTCTCTTAGGGTATTTATAAACTGACATTTTAATATTTTCCCACAAAATATTAATTGCAATTAATATTTTCCCATTCAACAACATTTCACAGACCTTCTGGGGCTGGCAGGCTGCAGGCTGTTTAAGATGCTGAACTCCCATACAGCTGACTGTGGTCTGAGTCCCACATATAGCTGCTTGTTTTCTCACCTCCCCTGTCTCTCTGGTCAAATTAAAATAATAATAATGATGAATGAAATTAAATATTTCTTTAAAAAAAAAAAAAAGAGGGGGTCCTGTAAGCTGAGGTCATCCCTTTCCAAGACAGCCTGCTTAACCATTTTTGCCACTACATGGTAGGTAGGCACAAGTAAATTACTACAATGAATGGTTAAAAGAAATGAGAGAGATGTATGGTGGACGACACCATACATCTAACTAAATTAGGCATGGAAAAGAAGATACAAAATATCTGATGCTCTGTGTTATTTTTTAGGGGAAATTTTAATTAACATATAATAATTGAACATATTTGTGGGTGTACATTGTGACTTTTCAGCACATGAATGCAATGTGCAATGATTAAATCAGGGTAATATAGTCATCATCTAAACCATTTGTCATTATTTTGTGTTGAGAACATTCAAAATCCTCTTTTTTAGGTACTCTGAGATAGTAAGTCATTGTTAATTATTCCTCTCACTGTACTTTGTAATAGTAGACACTTCCTCTTATCTGCCTATAATTTTATTTCTGTTCATCAATATTCCCCTCTATTCTCTGCAACTCCCATCCCTCTCAGCCTTAGTTATTTTTTTATTTACTTCTACAAGGCCTTTTTTTTTGTTTCTACATATGAAGGAGATTGTATGATATTTCTTTTTCTGTACGGCTTATTTAACACAATGTTTTACAGGCTCACTCATTTAACCTCAAATGACACGCTTTCATCCTTTTTAATGACTGAGTAGTGTTTCATTACACACACACGCACTTTATCCATGAGCTTGGTGACTGACACTTAGGAAGATTCCACACCTTAGCTACTAGGCACTGTTGCAATAAACACTGGGGTGCAGATATCTTTATGACATACTGATTTCCTTTCCTTTAGAAATACACCTGCTAGTGGGACTGCTGGATCAAACAGCACTTCTATTTTTAATTTTCTGAGGAACCTCCATATTGTTTTTCTTAATGGGTACACTAATGTACACGCTCATCAAGAGTATGAAGCGGGCATCTCTGTCTTGCTTCGCTTTAAGAGAAAAGGCCTTCAGCTTTTTCCCGTTCACTATGGCTTTTATTAGGTTGAGATACATGCCTTCTATCACTAATTTGTTGAGTGCTTTTCTTATCACAAAGGGATGCTGGATTTTGTCAAACACCGTCTCAGTATTTGTGAGATGATAAGTTTTTTGCCTGTCATTTTGTTCATATCATGTATCCCGTTTATGAATTTGCATTTGCTGAATCAGCCTTTCATTCCTGGAATAAACCTATCTGGTCACTGCATTCAATCTCTTCGATGAACTGCTGGCATCGAATCTCTAGTACTTTGTCGAGGACTTTTGCATCTATGTTCATTAGGGATATTAGTCTATAGTTTCCTTTTATTTATTTATTTTTTCTTACGTTTTTACGTGGTTTTAGTATCAGGGTAACTAATGCTGGCCCTGTAAAATGAACGTGAGTGTTTTTTTATTTTTTTTTTCCCGTTACTGTTTTATGGAATGGTTTGACAAGCACTTTTTTTTTTTTTGAGAGGTTTTTGCTATAGGGCGCATACACTTGCCAGAAAGAGAGACAGAAAGCAAGAAATCATTAAGCCACCGGGTCTGGGGCTCGAACCGCGGTCAACTATATAGGGGTTCAGCGACATAATCATTACGTCAACTGCTGGTCCTCTGACCAACAGTTTTAAAACTTTAGTAAAATTTGTCCATGAAAACATTTTGTTCCTTACTGGGAGACTTTTTATTATTGATTCAATCTTATTAGCTGCTATTAGTCTGCTCAGGTTGTCTATTTCTTCCTAGTTCAGTTTTGGTAGGTTGTATGTCCAGGAATTTAGACTTTTCAGTTGGTTGGTGTATAGTGGCTCATAATAATCTCAATCTTTTGTATTTCTATGGCCCTAGCAGTAATGTCTACTGTTTTGCCTCTGATTTTATTTATATGGGCCTTCTCCCATTTTATCTAAGTCTAGCTAATGGTTTGTCAATTTTTATCTTTTCCAAAACCAACTTTTTGTTTTATTGATCTTCTGCACTTTTTTAATTTCAAGTTTATTTCTCTGATCTTTGTTATTTCTTCCTTTCTGCTACTTTTGGAATTTGTTTGTTCTTGGATTTCTAATTTCCTGAGGTGGGTCATTAGATGGTTTATTTGAAATCTTTATTTTTGGATAAAGCCACTTAGTATGCTACCAACTTCCCTCTTAGAACTGCTTTTACTGTATACCATAGCTTTTGGTATATCGTGTCTTCATTTTCATTTGTTTCCGTATTTTTTTTTAAAAGAATTATTTCATCTACTTACTTATTTGAATTTGACCAGAGAGGGACAAAAAGAGAGAAAGTAAGCTGCCAGGTCTGGGACTCAAATCACGATTCACTACGTGGGAAGTCCAGTGCCTGTAACCACCAAACCACCTGCCAGCCTGTTTCCATAAAATTTTAAATTTCTATATTGATATATTAATTAACCCAGTGGCCACTTAGGAGCTTAATTAGTTGCAATGTATTTTCTTTAAATTATTTTCTTTATTATTTTTTAATTTGATAATAAAGAGACAGGGATTGGTGGTAAGAAAGCAAGTTGCCAGGTCCAGGACTTGAATCACAGTTGGCCATGTGGGATTCCAGCACCTTAACCACCATGTCAACTGTCAGCCCCTAGTTTCTATGTATTTCTATAATTTCCACTGTTCCTCTTGTTAATAATTTCTAGTTTGATTCCTCTGTAGTCAGCAAAGACACTCAATCTAATTAAAAAATATATATTTTTGAGATAACGTGGTTTGTTCTGGAGAATGATCCATGTGCTGATGAACGCACATGCATCCTGTAAATGATGGATAGACTGTTCAGTAAAAGTCAGTTTGATCCACATGGTCTATGGTGCAGTTTAAGACTGATGTTTCTTTGCTTCTGTCTAGATGATCTGTCTAATGCTGGGAGTGGGGTGATGAAGTCTCCAACAATTATTGTACTGAAGATTTTATCTCTCTTTAGCTCTAGTAACAATTATTTTATGTATTTAGGTGCTCTCATTTTTGGTATTATATATAAAATTATATTTTGGTGCATATATTTTATGTATTTTACAACTGTTATGTATTGTTGGTCTGAGTCTTTTATCATTTTTCTAATGGTCTTCTTTATCTGTTTTTACACTTTTTGAACTAAAGTCTATTTGATTTGATTTAATTATTCCTATTTGCTTTTACTTCCTGATTGCATAGTATTTGTTTTTCCATACATTTGCTTTTAGTCTGTGTGTGTCAATTACAGGTGAAGTGAGTTTCTTACAGGCAGTGTATAGTTGGATTTTTGCTCTTTTTAATTCTATTTAGCCAGAATATATCTTTTAAGGGGGGAGTGTAGTTCGTTTACAATTAGGGTTACTGTAGATAGATTAGTACTTACTCTTGTCACTTGGCTAGATATTTTTTGGTTGTACTCTGAGGTCTTTGTTTTCTTTTCTTTTTTTTTATTAGTTTCAATTACAGTGTAGTGATTTACTCCTACCTCTGGTAACCACCATTCTATTTCCTTTCTGAGTTTGACTGTTGTAGAAATCACATAAAAGAAAGATCATACAGTATTTGTCCTTCTTTTTTTTTTTTTTTTGGAGAGATTTTTGCTATAGGGCGCGTGTGCTCACCAGAGAGAGAGAGAGACAGAGAGAGAGAAAGCGAGAAATCACCCCCCAGGGGGGATGATCACACCGCAATCCCTTCTCCTCCATTCTCCTCTTGGGATCTTGGGCACACACGCACATGTGCCCGGCGTGAGTTTAAGCTACTGGGTCCGGGACGCGAACTGCGGTCGACTACGTGGGAGTCCAGCAACATAGTCATTACGCTAACTGCTGGTCCCCAGTATTTGTCCTTCTGTGCCTGGCTTATTTCACTTAGTCTAATGTCCTCCAGAGCAATCAACGTTGTCACACAACAGAATAAATATAAAGTAATAGCAATTAATTTATGTTGTCCTACTTTTGAGTGGTAAGAAAAACAATATAATTTACCTGCGTTTACTGGGAATTACTCCAACTTCATCACTTTCCCCATCTGGTGTAACTTGTCTGGCTTGCCACCATTCGTCATCAGAAGCATTAATAACATGGAGGATATCTCCAAATTTGAAGTTCAATCCTTGACTGGGAAGGCCACTGTCTTTAGTCTTGTCATAATCAAAAAGGGCTCTAAATTCACAAGAAAAAATTCCTATTATTATGTTATAATGATACTAATTGTTATTAAATACTTCAATATGAGATTCTGAAAGTATACATAATGCGGATAAATAAAACACAATGGTAGACAAAATAACGCTAAATTCAATTATGCACTATATAGATGACAAAGAGATAAAAAAGAATTAGCAAAATCAACTTGTTATGGAAATAGGGAAATCATTTATTAGGCATATTACCTATTTCCTTCAATAGTATAAAATGAATTTAAAAAATGCTTTTAATACAATTCAATGAGAACTAGTATTAAATTCTATAAGGAAGACAAATCCAGAGAGTTACTTTAAACTAATAAAGTAAACATTGAGAGAAAGTCTTTTCTTTTGTTGTTTAGAGATTTTTGCTATTAGGCATATGTGCTTTCCAGAGAGATACAGAGAGACAGGAAGTGAGAAATCATCTCGAAATATTAATATTTAACAAACTGGCAAAAGGAAAATAGTATCTAACTAATGTACAAAATTTAAACAAATCAAATTCTTAAGTCCAAATAAGCTCTTATAGTACAGGAAAAGGTCTTAGCAATTACAATTATGAATACAATGCACTGTTGCCTTCCTTTTGGCCAGAACCACCATCTTCCAGTAATTAACCAAAATGATGAACACAAATGGAAAGAGGAGAGGCACACGATATATATTCTCTAGGCCTTTTAGAAAACATGGAGTGGTTTCTTTGGCAACATACATGCCAATCTATAAGAAAGGTGACATTGCAGACATCAAGGGAATGGGAATTGTTCAAAAAGGAATGCCCCGCTAATGTTACCATGGCAAAACTGGAAGCGTCTACAATGCTATCCAGCATGCTGTTGGCAAAGTTGTAAACAAACAAGTTAAGGGCAAGATTCTTGCCAAGAGAATTAATGTGCATATTAAGCGTTCTGAAAGCAGAGATAGTTTCCTAAAATGTGTGAAGGAGAATGACCAGAGAAAGAATGAAGCCAAAGAAAAAGGGACCTGGGTTCAATGGAAGCGCCAGCCTGCTCCACCCAGGGAAGCACACTTTGTGAGAACCAATGGAAAGGAGCCTGAGTGACTGGAACCTATTCCATACGAATTCATGGCATGGTGGGTGTTAAAAATACACTAATTTATGGTGTGTGTGTGTGTGTGTATATATATGTATATATATACACACACACATAAAAGAATATAATGTACTGTTTTGTTCTAATTTTGTAACTCTAAATTAGGATACATACAAACCAAAATCCTTTTCATGCCATCCAACTTTCCCCCACCCCAATTTGCTACAGGACATGTGTGTTCAAGAGAAAGTGAAAGAGTACTCCTATAGGGGATGGTCACATTGCAATCCTCTTTCCTCCATTTTTCCTTTGGGGATTCTGGGCATGTACACATACTCGCCTGGTGTGTTTCTCAAGTCACTGGGTCCAGGACATTAACTGCACAATCAGACATGTGGATCCACCTACCTTACCTGACCACACTGGCTGGTCAATGCTACTCAGTTTTTAAGAACTAATGTCTTGGGGACCAGCAGGTGGTCTAAGGGTTAAGATGCTGGACTCTCACATAGCCAACCATGGTTCAAGTTGGCTTGAAACTCATGCCAGGCGTGCACCTGTGTGTGCCCAAAATCCCAAGAGGAGAATGGAGGAGAAAAGACTGGAATGTGGCCATCCTCCCGGGGGGCCTGATTTCTCACTTTCTGTCTCTATTTCTCCTGTGAATGCACACATCCTATAGCAAAAATCTTTCAAACAAAACAAAAAAAGATATGTCTTGGGGCTAGCAGGCAGCATAGAGCTTAAGTTGAGTAGATCTCATGTGGCAGATCATACAGTTGAAGTCCTGGACCCTATGGCTTGAGAAAAACATCAGGCGAAGAGAGACACACAGAGAGAGAGAGAGCGCGAGCGAGCGAGCACATTTTCCTGAGAGGAGAATAAAGAAGAAGGGACTATAGCAGGGTTATTCCCTTGGGTGTGATTTCTCACTTTATCTCTCTCCTCATCTGGCAAAAATCTAAAAAACATAAAAACAAAAGATAAAACACAAAATCAAAACAAACAAAAAAAAAACCAGAAAAGAAAAGAAGAAGCTAAAAGAAGTGTCTACAGAAACCTCTAGAACTGAAAGGCAAAGAGAAAAAATAGAGCAACAACAAAAAAGAACCCATGTAGCAACATAGTCATTACGCTAACTGCTGGTCCCCAGTATTTGTCCTTCTGTGCCTGGCTTATTTCACTTAGTCTAATGTCCTCCAGAGCAATCAACGTTGTCACACAACAGAATAAATATAAAGTAATAGCAATTAATTTATGTTGTCCTACTTTTGAGTGGTAAGAAAAACAATATAATTTACCTGCGTTTACTGGGAATTACTCCAACTTCATCACTTTCCCCATCTGGTGTAACTTGTCTGGCTTGCCACCATTCGTCATCAGAAGCATTAATAACATGGAGGATATCTCCAAATTTGAAGTTCAATCCTTGACTGGGAAGGCCACTGTCTTTAGTCTTGTCATAATCAAAAAGGGCTCTAAATTCACAAGAAAAAATTCCTATTATTATGTTATAATGATACTAATTGTTATTAAATACTTCAATATGAGATTCTGAAAGTATACATAATGCGGATAAATAAAACACAATGGTAGACAAAATAACGCTAAATTCAATTATGCACTATATAGATGACAAAGAGATAAAAAAGAATTAGCAAAATCAACTTGTTATGGAAATAGGGAAATCATTTATTAGGCATATTACCTATTTCCTTCAATAGTATAAAATGAATTTAAAAAATGCTTTTAATACAATTCAATGAGAACTAGTATTAAATTCTATAAGGAAGACAAATCCAGAGAGTTACTTTAAACTAATAAAGTAAACATTGAGAGAAAGTCTTTTCTTTTGTTGTTTAGAGATTTTTGCTATTAGGCATATGTGCTTTCCAGAGAGATACAGAGAGACAGGAAGTGAGAAATCATCTCGAAATATTAATATTTAACAAACTGGCAAAAGGAAAATAGTATCTAACTAATGTACAAAATTTAAACAAATCAAATTCTTAAGTCCAAATAAGCTCTTATAGTACAGGAAAAGGTCTTAGCAATTACAATTATGAATACAATGCACTGTTGCCTTCCTTTTGGCCAGAACCACCATCTTCCAGTAATTAACCAAAATGATGAACACAAATGGAAAGAGGAGAGGCACACGATATATATTCTCTAGGCCTTTTAGAAAACATGGAGTGGTTTCTTTGGCAACATACATGCCAATCTATAAGAAAGGTGACATTGCAGACATCAAGGGAATGGGAATTGTTCAAAAAGGAATGCCCCGCTAATGTTACCATGGCAAAACTGGAAGCGTCTACAATGCTATCCAGCATGCTGTTGGCAAAGTTGTAAACAAACAAGTTAAGGGCAAGATTCTTGCCAAGAGAATTAATGTGCATATTAAGCGTTCTGAAAGCAGAGATAGTTTCCTAAAATGTGTGAAGGAGAATGACCAGAGAAAGAATGAAGCCAAAGAGAAAGGTACCTGGGTTCAATGGAAGCGCCAGCCTGCTCCACCCAGGGAAGCACACTTTGTGAGAACCAATGGAAAGGAGCCTGAGTGACTGGAACCTATTCCATACGAATTCATGGCATGGTGGGTGTTAAAAATACACTAATTTATGGTGTGTGTGTGTGTGTGTATATATATGTATATATATACACACACACATAAAAGAATATAATGTACTGTTTTGTTCTAATTTTGTAACTCTAAATTAGGATACATACAAACCAAAATCCTTTTCATCCAATCCAACTTTCCCCCACCCCAATTTGCTACAGGACATGTGTGTTCAAGAGAAAGTGAAAGAGTACTCCTATAGGGGATGGTTGCAATCCTATCCTCTTTCCTCCATTTTTCCTTTGGGGATTCTGGGCATGTACACATACTCGCCTGGTGTGTTTCTCAAGTCACTGGGTCCAGGACATTAACTGCACAATCAGACATGTGGATCCACCTACCTTACCTGACCACACTGGCTGGTCAATGCTACTCAGTTTTTAAGAACTAATGTCTTGGGGACCAGCAGGTGGTCTAAGGGTTAAGATGCTGGACTCTCACATAGCCAACCATGGTTCAAGTTGGCTTGAAACTCATGCCAGGCGTGCACCTGTGTGTGCCCAAAATCCCAAGAGGAGAATGGAGGAGAAAAGACTGGAATGTGGCCATCCTCCCGGGGGGCCTGATTTCTCACTTTCTGTCTCTATTTCTCCTGTGAATGCACACATCCTATAGCAAAAATCTTTCAAACAAAACAAAAAAAGATATGTCTTGGGGCTAGCAGGCAGCATAGAGCTTAAGTTGAGTAGATCTCATGTGGCAGATCATACAGTTGAAGTCCTGGACCCTGAATGCACACATCAACATCAGGTGAGAGAGAAAGAGAGAGAGAGAGAGAGCGCGAGCGAGCGAGCACATTTTCCTGAGAGGAGAATAAAGAAGAAGGGACTATAGCAGGGTTATTCCCTTGGGTGTGATTTCTCACTTTATCTCTCTCCTCATCTGGCAAAAATCTAAAAAACATAAAAACAAAAGATAAAACACAAAATCAAAACAAACAAAAAAAAAACCAGAAAAGAAAAGAAGAATCAATGAGCTCAAAGAAGTGTCTACAGAAACCTCTAGAACTGAAAGGCAAAGAGAAAAAATAGAGCAACAACAAAAAAGAACCCATGTCTTAAACTAAAACTCAAGAGGGAGGAATTAATTTGCTGGAAAAATGAATAAACTAACAATAAGTGATTTTCAAATGTGGTCTTTGAAGTCCCTAAAGAAGCTGATGGTATGAGGGAAGTAGGGGAAGTAATAGTGAGAAGTCTGACTTAAACATATATTAAAACACACAGAAGATAAGGATAAAAATAAGCATAATGTAAAAGAGAAAACATAGTACCTTAACAGGTAGAATAAAGACATTCAGAAAAGAGAAAATACTCTTTCTTAACATTTTTATTACCATAAATTCATTTTTTGGTTAATGAAAGTAATGTAATTATGTTTAAAACAAATACATCTTTTTATTTGAGTTTTATATTTAAACATATTTGATTTATAAAACAGGGAACCCAAATGGAACACATCCATGAGTTACTCATCACAGGAGTAAAATGAGTATGTTAACCTACTCTCCAACCTATGACTGTACACAAGACTTAGCAATGCATATACATCTGTGTTTTCCCTGGATCTGCTCCCATTGGATCAAGAGTTATTAGAAGTGGGACCAGCAGTTGGTGTAATGGCTATGTTGCTGGACTCGCACATAGCCGACTGGGGTTCAAGTCCCAGACCCGGTGGCTTAAACTCATGCCAGGCACGTGTGTGTGTGTGCCCAAGATCCAGAAAGGAGAATGGAAGAGAAGGGATTGGAGCATGGCCATCCCCTCTGGGGGGTGATTTCTCACTTTCTGTCTCTTTCTGGCGAGCACACACACCCTAGAGCAAAAACCTCCCCCCCCAAAAAAAAAGTTATTGTAAGTAATTATCATTTAAAATACTGTGTTATGGTGTTTATTATTTCCTGAAGCTTATCTTTTTTTTTTTTTTTAAATAATATGCTTTTGAAAGTACAAACACAATGCAGAAAAGAGATATTTCTGTCTGGAAGAGTCATTTTGGCCTTTACAGAGGAGAAGCCCTATTTTTTTTTTTTTTTAAACGTTTAGCTATAGGACACAGATGCTCACTGGAAACAGGAAAAGTGACAAATTCCCCCACTCCCTGGGTTGGGGGGGGATAGTCACGCTGGAATCCCTTTCTCCTTTACTCTCTTCTCAGGATTTTGGGCAATGCACACACATGCACCTGGCATGACTTTCAAGTCTCTGGGTCTAGGACTTGAACTGTGGTTGACCAAGTAGGAGTTTAGCATTCCACCTGCTGGCCCCAACCTTTATCTTTTTTTGTTTGTTTGTTTGTTTGTTTTGTTTTATTACATTTATGTGGGTGACTAAAAAATTACAATGTGTAGTTTTGCTTGGTTCACAGCTTTCTTTCTTTCTTTCTTTCTTTTTTGGAGAGGTTTTTGCTATAGGGAACGTGCGCTCGCCAGACAGACAGAGAGATAGAAAGCGAGAAATCACCCCCCAGAGGGGATGGCCACGCCACAATCCCTTCTCCTCTATTCTCCTCTTGGGATCTTGGGCACGCACGCACATGCGCCCAGCGTGAGTTTAAGCCACCGGGTCCAGGACTCGAAATGCGGTCGACTACGTGGGAGTCCAGTGACATAGCCATTACGCTAACTGCTGGTCCCATTTCTTTCTTTTTAAAAAATCTGTTAGAGAGTTATGTGTACTTGCTAAAGTCAGAGAAAGAGAGTGAGCAAGTGAGAGATAGCGAGAAAGTACCTCTACAGAGAACTATCCTACTACAACCCCTTCTCTTCCACTTTTCCTTTCCTTTGGGATTTTGGGCACATATACACATGTGCCTAGTATGTTTCTCAAGTGGTCAAGTTGGGATTAGAATCTTGCAGTTGCCATGTGGGACCCAGATGTCATGTCACTGGCTGGCCTAGTACAGAGCTTTATAGAAAAGTAGGAGAATGCTCAGTTAGAAAAGTGCTTGCACATCAATGTTTACTGCAGCATTATTCACGGTCACTAAGACATGGAACCAAGCCAAATGTCTACAAACAGATGAATGGATTGAAAAAGTGTGGCACATAAACTCTATGGACTACTACTCAGCCATAAAAAAAACAAGACCCTGGCATTTGAAAGAAAGTGGTCGGATATGGAGGATCTATTGCTGAGTGAAGAAAGCCAGGATATGAAAAAAAAAAGATATTGCATGTATCCACTTAATATATATTGACTATCCACACTTTATGGTAAAGATCAAAATACTGGAGGGCATAAAAGCAGTGAAAAGAGTTAGAGATGCTGAAGACAGTGTGGAATGGGGCGGGAGAAGGGAAGAATACAGAGAAGGACAGCAAGAGAACAAATAGAGGACATGACATTAGTGGGACACGGAAATGGTGTATTCCCTGTTGATAACATGCATAGTACTCTCAACTAGACTGGTTTGAGAAGTATTTCGTGTTGGGTAAAATCTTTTTACAAGAAAAATGATATATAGTGACAATGTTTAAAACATAATGAGAATAATAATAATGATGATGTGGATAGTAATGTCTTTTATATAAAATTAAATAAAATAAAAAAATTAAATACATGTATTTTATAGTCCTTTTTTCCTTGTGAAATTAAAAAGATACTGGCTGAAAAGAACCACAAAACTTCTGATGTTGTGCCAGTAGTATTATCTTTCTATAATACTTTGTGCCAGACTGGCTTTATGTGTCTATTTCCTCCCAATTCTGAACTTCATTAAAATGATAATAAAATAATAATAAAAAGAAAAACTTAGAAGAAGAAAACAGGAGGAAAGATATTTAAGCACATTTCTGGATGATAACTGTACTGTGGTACTTGAAGAGAGGGATTTAAAATAAGATTTACTCAG